GTTCTTGGTGAGGGATTGCTCGCAGTTCTTCGCCAGGGATTACACGCAGTTCTTGGCGAGGGATTATAAGCAGTTGTTGGTGAGGGATTACACGCAGATGAAATGTCAGCACTGTGGAGAAATCCCAGACAGACCACTGGAACATTATTCAACACAGTGCACAGTTACAAACCCATTAAGATTTCAACTTAGATTCAACAGAGCAGAAGAAGGTGTTAAACACATATGGCAAAATCTTACTGAAGCGACCATACGAGTCATAAATACTCATACTCCGCCCAAGTAAAACAGAAACAAGCAACACTTAGTGGGCCAGCCAGAGGCTTAGGGCCCGCGCAGGAATATCCCTGCAAAAAAAAAACACACACGCAGTTCTTCGTCAGGGATTACAAGCAGTTGTTGGTGAGGGATTACACGCAGTTCTTGGTGAAAGATTACACGCAGTTCTTGGTGAAGTATTACACGCAGTTCTTGGTGAAGGATTACACGCAGTTCTTGGTGAAGGATTACACGCAGTTCTTGGTGAAAGATTACACGCAGTTCTTGGTGAAAGATTACACGCAGTTCTTGGTGAGGTATTACAAGCAGTTCTTGGTGAAGGATTACACGCAGTTCTTGGTGAAGGATTACACGCAGTTCTTGGTGAAAGATTACACGCAGTTCTTGGTGAGGTATTACAAGCAGTTCTTGGTGAAGGATTACACGCAGTTCTTGGTGAAGGATTACACGCAGTTCTTGGTGAGGTATTACAAGCAGTTCTTGGTGAAGGATTACACGCAGTTCTTGGTGAAGGATGACACGCAGTTCTTGGTGAAAGATTACACGCAGTTCTTGGTGAGGGATTACAAGCAGTTCTTGGTGAAGGATTACACGCAGTTCTTGGTGAAGGATTACACGCAGTTCTTGGTGAAAGATTACACGCAGTTCTTGGTGAGGGATTACAAGCAGTTATTGGTGAGGGATTACAAGCAGTTCTTGGTGAGGGATTACAAGCAGTTCTTGGTGAGGGATTACAAGCAGTTCTTGGTGAGTGATTACACGCGGTTCTTCGCCAGGGATTACACGCAGTTCTTCGTCAGGGATTACACGCGGTTCTTCGCCAGGGATTACACGCGGTTCTTCGCCAGGGATTACACGCGGTTCTTCGCCAGGGATTACACGCGGTTCTTCGCCAGGGATTACACGCGGTTCTTCGCCAGGGATTACACGCGGTTCTTCGCCAGGGATTACACGCGGTTCTTCGCCAGGGATTACACGCGGTTCTTCGCCAGGGATTACAATGAACAAAATACCGTTGACCGCTATCATGCATAGCTTGTCTGACACATCTGAAGTAGTAGTGGAGGAGCTGCGAAGAAATGCTTCCTTAACCACCGGACTCAGATGGTAATTTCATCTGTATGGTGTCGTTCTGTTCTTGCTAACGCAAAAAGGTATGTTTATTTTGTGTAAATTATCTCGTTTAATTATCATATGGGGGATCTTTGACTAACCGCGGGCCTTCTGCCCCCCTGTCAGGGTCACTAGAGATGACCCTCAGGGCTTCATGACCCCGTGGAGGCCACTAGAGATGGCCCTCAGGGCTTTATGACCCCGTGGAGGCCACTAGAGATGGCCCTCAGGGCTTCATGACCCCGTGGAGGCCACTAGAAATGGCCCTCAGGGCTTCATGACCCCGTGGAGGCCACTAGAGATTAAGTGAGGGTTGTATGCTAAGGCTGCATTCTCGATCACTCGTCCTATGTAGGTTGCATATTGCTAATATTGGGATGTACAAGATCTTGAAAGCAGTGCACATGTCACCTAGAGTCATCCAGTCTATGTATACTTCCGGTGATAAGTATGGTATGATGTCCGCCTCTGGGTCATTACCTTTCTTTCCTACCAGCCTTATAACATTGCAATTTTGCCGAGTTAAGTTCCTGTGGCCATGAATTACACCAATCTTGTAGTTTTTGCAAAACCTTCCCTGTCATTCCTTTGTATGAGCCAGCAGTCGCTTATGTGTGGAGGGGTTGGGCTTCAGCACTTGGTCCCTGCCACTCATCCTTAGGCTAACTGGTGAACATACTAAAATTCATTGTTTTGTTGGGTGGGTTTAGAAGTAGATGTCTTTCTAGTAATCTTAGATTCTCTCCTGATTTTTTCTAGTGATCTTAGGCTTAGATTCACCCTCCTTCATGTGTTGTATCTCACGAAGTTATGAATGGAGTCACCCTTCGCTCCCCCCCCCCCACTTCCCCTCTTGCCCGCTGTCCCTGTACTGAAGAAATGCTTCATTGTGGCCCTCTGACTCATCTGTGTTTACAGTTTGTACTTTGTCCTCACTTGCTGCTCCCAACCTGACGCTACACAGTTGGTCCTTGTGTGTGTGTGTGTGTGTGTGTGTGTGTGTGTGTGTGTGTGTGTGTGTGTGTGTGTGTGTGTGTGTGTGTAGGGTTATTAAGGCCGATTAATCTCTGGAGGGTTATTAAGGTCCATCTTTCTCTGGAAGGTTATTAAGGTCTATCTACCTTTGGAGGGTTATTAAGCCCTATCAACCTTGGGAAGGTTATTACAGCCTGTCAACCTCTGGAGGGTTATTAAGGCCTATCAACCTCCGGAGGGTTATTAAGGCCTATCAACTTCTAGAGGGTTATTAAGGCCTATCAACCTCTGTAGCGTTATTAAGGCCACCATAAATGGCTTACTGACCAACACGTTTAATTTAGACCAGCCAGGACTAAACTAAACTCTCAGGGTACACACACTAATTAGCGGGGTATACCTCTCACTGTATTAGATAATACATTACTACTTCTAGAAATAAATCCTAGTTACAAAATTTTCCAGATTTTTTTTTTCCAATTCTGATTTCCAGATTTTTTTTTTATTCAAATTTCGTTTTTTTTTTTTCTGCATCATCGACCATCTTCTCTCAACCATGTCTGCCAGTAACCGTATACCAACGACCATCTTCTCTCAACCATGTCTGCCAGTAACCGTATACCAACGACCATCTTCTCTCAACCATGTCTGCCAGTAACCGTATACCAACGACCATCTTCTCTCAACCATGTCTGCCAGTAACCGTATACCAACGACCATCTTCTCTCAACCATGTCTGCCAGTAACCGTATACCAACGACCATCTTCTCTCAACCATATCTACCACTCCCTGTTGTTTGTTGTTTCAGACTTAGCTACTCAGAACGAAGTGTCCATGTAGCACGGGCTATGGTGAGCCCGTAAGGTACCTCCCCCCCCTGCTGTGGAGGCTGACATCCAGGAATTTATCGAACACTGGTGATAATCACCTTTTATACAGCTATCGAGCCTACTCATGTTCCCTGTACGATGGACGACGAGGACAAAAGACAGGATTAGCCCTGAACAACGGTCGTCCTCCTCCGGGGGGGGGGGCGCTGCAGTAGTCGTTGAAGGAGAGACACTTCGATCCATCTTGGTTGTCGTCTCGGACCAGTCGTCGTGTGGATATGGGGGGGGGGCTGCGGGACGCTACAAGCAACAGTTTTACCGATCAAATTCTCGCATGAGTGGGTTGGGGTTGTGGGGGGGAGGGGGGGGGGAAGAACTCTAGAAACCTACTGCAGGTACACTTTGGTACGTTAATATGAATATCCGTCGGTAAAATCTTTTGTTTATCTGTGGTTTGTTTTATTGCAATTATCGCTGGTATGGAGGCTGGTTATTTTCCTGGTTATCATTAACTTTGTTACCGTTATCATAATGATTGTAATGATTACCTATAATGCTGTTATGATGACTTTGTCTTTGGTATATATATTATCCTGTCATTTTGTGAACATTAATTCATATTTAAATGTTGAAATGTTTATGAATAAAGTTTTTGAATTTGAATTGTGCCTTGAATGGGAGCCGGTGGCTGAGCAGACAGAACACTGGACGCGTGATCCTGTGGTCCCGGGTTCGATCCCGGGTGCCGGCGAGAAACAATGGGCATAGTTTCTTTCCCCCTGATGCCCTTGTTACCTAGCAGTAAATAGGTACCTGGGAGTTAGACAACTGCTACGGGCTGCTTCCTGGGGAAGTTTAACAAAAAAGGAGGCCTGGTCGAGGACCGGGCCGCGGGGACGCTAAGCCCCGAAATCATCTCAGGATAACCTGAAGAAGAAGATTAAGATCGAACCTGACACTCTCCCACGCATCTCTCACCCACAGTGTAAACTCTTAATCCCCTTCAGTGGGTGTCGAATATGGAACAAATTGCCTCTCATCACTGAAACACACTCACACTTTCATTCTTCAAACACAAGACTCAGACGAAATTTTGTATCTAGAGTCAGAGATACAGTACATACAATATACAGTATACAATAGAGTCAGAGTACAGTATATCTTTGTACTTATTGTCTATATTATTATGATTAGCATTAACGATAATGCGAATTATTAATCGACTTGATAAGGGTCCATGACGGACCGAAACGTCGTCGTTTCGGTCCCTTCACTTTCTAGTGTTTGGTCTGGTCAAGCGCCGTGATGCCATGTATCGAGTATCAGTGACGATAATGATGATGAGTTGCTATCTCAACATCAACACCAACAAATATGATCAAATACCACGCAAGTTTCTCCAATGAGTGAGCTAAGCTGAGTGAGGTGCCGGGCGGCTGTCAATATCCCCTCACTGTGTACCTCGCGGCTAAACAACGCCAATATGTTTGTTTACATGCGTGACGCAAGCACAGGTCTCGTGCGTGACGCAAGCATGGCTCACCTCCATGACATCACGCCCTGCACGCTTGACCCTGACCTTCTCTCTCCCACCACAAGGTCTCCCTGACCTTTCATCTAGAAATATAACCTGAGATTGGTGGATGATCAAGCTTGGAATTTGGTTTTATTTTACGGTCGTCGGCGAACAGCAAAGTGGGAGGGGGTGGTCAGCTGGGTGGCCAGGCTGCTCCTAGCACGGGGTGGCAAGGGCTCCTAGCACGGTGGGAGACAGCATACTAATGTTTGCTGAGTTATAGATCATGCCTATGTTGGCCCTTCAGCATGAGGCCTACAGCATGCTGATGTTTGCTGGGTCCTACAGCATCCTGGGTTATGCTTCATATAATGTTTTGTTAACCTTATATTAAGGAACTAACACTTGACTTTTAAAGGTTATGAACATTTGTCTTGCCCTAAAACTCACTAAAATGCTTAACCGGAGATAACGCCCACCTCTGCCACCCCCTCTTACATCTTAGGCAGCATCCACTCTGCTACTCCTGGTCATCTTAAGCAGCATCCACTCCACAACTCATTACATCTTACTGTCAGTCACAAAGAAGAGCACATCTTGGTGGAGTGGGTAGTGCGTGTGGCTGTGGAGTCCATAAATGCGGGTACCATCCCATTGTATGACGTTAATATGCCTTCATTTATCACCTTGTGATTTGATTGTGTATCTCCCCATACCATACTGACGATTTTAGTTTGTAACACCACTCTATTGTAACACTACTAAAATGTACCACTATAATGGAACACTAAACTATCCTGAGTAACACTTCCTCATCGGTTGCACTTGGTAACACTGTTATGGGCTGACATATGATGGTTACACCGGGACTACAAAGTACACTGCCAACAAGGAGATGCTAACACAGGATGAAATACGCTGCCACCATCTGCCTTGGACCATTGAGACTATATCAAGCAACGAGGCAAGAAACATTGCTTGACTTGGAGAGTACTTTCTATGACTGTCATTAATTATGGGACGGTTGTCAGCCACTATATCCAAAAGGCTAAGAGGATTCAACAATTGACACAGACGGGAAATTTAACGAGTTTATTGAGACCAAAATTATGTCAATCACTACTTATAAATGCTACACTAACACTGGCAAAAAGTTAAGAAATTTGGACATGGAACAAAAACTCAGAGATCACACACATTACCTTAAGCTATCTCTCTCCCGGGCTGAGATGTTCTTCACAGCCCCGCTTTCGATCCCGGTGTACCGCCCTCTGCCTCCTATGTTCCTACAGGCCCTCTATATACAACTCCCCACAGGAGGGAGGGGGAGATCTGCTGTTGCTACCCACCAAAAGTGTACAAACACTCAAGAAATATTTCAATAAGCTTGTTTGACATTCACCATACACTCTTCAAGAGAGGAGTTATTAACTACGTGTGTGGCTGACCTCTGACCTGGCCAAAAGGGGGAGATCCAGGGATGTTTACACATAAGAATCTGGAGTCTAATTTCCTTGCATGAAATATTACATACTTGAAACTATGCTGACTAAGACTAACCCAGGAATTTTTAATCAATATACAAGATAAACCGGAGGTCATCTGGGCTGACCTCTTGGAGAAGGCTTCCCTGGGTGTGAACTCTAAGGGGGGGGGGGGATCATGGGTGTTACAAGTTTAGTATATCCTGTTTAAGACCAGTATTAAAATGCTTCTTGGCAGTCTTTGTAAAGACTTTTCTCTGTCAGAGCCACGTGACTATTGTAGGTGTGGGTGGTGACGGGAAGATATTTAATATACGGTACTGTACAGTACAAGATTTCTTCAAGTAGCTGTGAATTCATGACGATCCCAGATGATTCTCAGACAATCACACAAGTGAATAATGAACACAATGGCCACACAACACTCCTGGTGACAGAGTGACCTCTATGAAGACACAGCTACCTGAGGGAGACTGTAATATGTCACCTCTACTTGCTCCAAGCCCGTGAGATACCGACGAAGAGCAGCGCTGACGTGCAGCTGTCTTGGGTGAGGTCTGGAGAGCTTCTTGTCATCAACGTTCTTCATCATCCCTTGTACGGGAAAATTATTTCTGGAACATTGAGGAGGGGGACCAAGAACCTGCTCCACAGCTTGAGGAGGGGGACCACGAACCTGCTCCACAGCTTGAGGAGTGGGACCACGAACCTGCTCCACAGCTTGAGGAGGGGGACCAAGAAGCTGTTCCACAGCTTGAGGAGGGGGACCACGAACCTGCTCCACAGCTTGAGGAGGGGGACCAAGAAGCTGTTCCACAGCTTGAGGAGGGGGACAAAGAACCTGCTCCACAGCTTGAGGAGGGGGACCAAGAAGCTGTTCCACAGCTTGAGGAGGGGGACCAAGAACCTGCTCGACAGCTTGAGGAGGGGGACCACGAACCTGCTCCACAGCTTGAGGAGGGGGACCAAGAAGCTGTTCCACAGCTTGAGGAGGGGGACCAAGAAGCTGTTCCACAGCTTGAGGAGGGGGACCAAGAACCTGCTCCACAGCTTGAGGAGGGGGACCACGAACCTGCTCCACAGCTTGAGGAGGGGGACCAAGAACCTGCTCCACAGCTTGAGGAGGGGGACCACGAACCTGCTCCACAGCTTAAGGAGTGGGACCACGAACCTGCTCCACAGCTTGAGGAGGGGGACCAAGAAGCTGTTCCACAGCTTGAGGAGGGGGACCAAGAAGCTGTTCCACAGCTTGAGGAGGGGGACCAAGAACCTGCTCCACAGCTTGAGGAGGGGGACCACGAACCTGCTCCACAGCTTGAGGAGGGGGACCAAGAAGCTGCCCCACAGCTTGAGGAGGGGGACCACGAACCTGCTCCACAGCTTGAGGAGGGGGACCACGAACCTGCTCCACAGCTTGAGGAGGGGGACCACGAACCTGCTCCACAGCTTGAGGAGGGGGACCACGAACCTGCTCCACAGCTTGAGGAGGGGGACCACGAACCTTCTCCACAGCTTGAGGAGGGGGACCACGAACCTGCTCCACAGCTTGAGGAGGGGGACCAAGAAGCTGCCCCACAGCTTGAGGAGGGGGACCAAGAAGCTGCTCAACAGCTTGAGGAGGGGGACCAAGAAGCTGCTCAACAGCTTGAGGAGGGGGACCAAGAACCTGCTTCACAGCTTGAGGAGGAGACCAAGAACCTGCTCAACAGCTTGAGGAGGGGGACCAAGAAGCTGCTCAACAGCTTGAGGAGGGCATCAGGGTATGTAGGTCGAGACCTGTGCCCAGTTACAGGCGGGGGGACCAATCAGAGGTGACGTACAATACCCTTACATGTCCAGTTATACCTACCCGGATGGTCACAGACGGTCAGGGTGACGCTGAAAATGTTCTTTGTAGTTCACAGAATGGACCTCTTTTTTATTTATTTTTTCTTCTGAAATTAACGGTACTTTGCACAGAATTTTCAATTCGTGATTTATTTAAATATGAATATTTATATTCTCGTTGTTTTTACCTTTTGCAGTAGTGTAACGGGGGGTGGGGGAAATAGCTCTATCTTGTCCATTATTCCACCCCCCAGTTAACTAACGAGGCCGGGGGAAACAGCTCTCTCTAGTCCGTTATCCCGTCCCCAGTTAGCTAACTATTCTAGAGCACCTCCAGAGTTCCTAAGGCAACGTCTCTCGTTCAACACCTTGTAACCTAGGTATTTGACTACCTAGGTTCTAAGACTACAAGGCGCCGTCACTTGATCAGTTACCCGAAACTCTAGAGAGAACTCTAGAGTACAGAATCATTGCCACAAACGTATAAGAGAAAACGAGAGGAAAGAAATGAATAGTGAAGTAATTAGTGAGGGTTTGGGGTGAGAGGGAGAGAGGTGGGAGGAGCGAGGAGGGTCATTAGTTGAAAGTGAGAGTTCAGAGAGGGGTGGAGGGAGAGGTGTAGATAGGTAGAAGTAGAAGAGTAGATAGTAGAAGTCGAAAGTAGATAGTAGAAGACGAAATGCTGCCACCATCCATTCATGATCATTACATACAAGACAAGGAATGGAACTTGCCTGTATCACAAAATTCTCAAAGGATGTTATCATGAGTTCATTATTAGTATGTTCCCTCTGTACCATGTATCAACTCCAAACAAGTACTCATTAATATCTTGAATCTAGTAACCACCGAGGCTTTCTCACCTCAACTCAAAGCTCTAGGGAACAAAGACGATTTAAATAATAAGTTCATGTATTTCACATACTAAGTATCATAATTTAGCAATTCAATTAAAATGTTCCAGTTTAATATGCAAAGTGAGTCATCATCCAAGAATTCGAGAACCCTACAACTTGACTGCCCCTGATCATCACACAACATATGTAAACACGACCAAGTCACCTTACTGCTCAACTCACCAAGTGTCTCTGCCTATAGCTGGATAGAGGGGGGGGGGGTCTGTAGTTGACGGAGACTCCCGCCCTGCCGGCCGACAGCCTCCCTGCTAGGGCCGTCTGCTCTGCTCTGCTCTGTTGGCTCGTCTGCTCTTCTTAATGTTAATCCTCCTTGCTGGATAGCTCTCCGAGTTTATATTGGGGAACCTAGTAGCTAACTCCGCCCACAAGTAGATAGCCTCCGGCACTCTACCAAGCCACTCCTTAAACGTCGGCATGTTTGAAGGCTACCCGGCTCCAACTAAGAGATTAGTAGAAGCAAGGTGAAATTCGCATGATCTGACCTCAGGTCACTTTGGGTCATTAACGCTTAGAGGTGTGAGATCTCAGGCAGACAACTGGCGCCTCTCAGATCCTTGTCTGTGACTCATGTACTCTATGTATGTATTAAACTAAACCAAACACTTTACAGTGTTACAGTAGGTTCGTATCTACTCTCAGCCCCCTCTGGCTCGTATCTACCCCAGCCGCCTCTGGCTCGTATCTACCCCAGCCCCCTCTGGCTCGTATCTACCCCAGCCCCCTCTGGCTCGTATCTACCCCAGCCCCCCTATGGCTCGTATCTACCCCAGCCCCCTCTGGCTCGTATCTACCCCAGCCCCCTCTGGCTCGTATCTACCCCAGCCGCCTCTGGCTCGTATCTACCCCAGCCCCCTCTGGCTCGTGTCTACCCCAGCCCCCTCTGGCTCGTATCTACCCCCAGCCCCTTCTGGCTCGTATCTACCCCCAGCCCCCTCTGGTTCGTATCTACCCACAGCCCCCTCTGGCTCGTATCTACTCCAGCCCCCCTCTGGCTCGTATCTACCCCAGCCCCCCTCTGGCTCGTATCTACCCCAGCCCCCCTCTGGCTCGTATCTACCCCAGCCACATCTGCCTCTCAGTAATAAACACATCACTGTTCGCAGGTGTTTAATATTCTCAGCGCCTTCCTTGACCAGTCCTTCTTGGAGGTCCGCCCGGACCCGCCGCTCGGACCTACCGCTCGGACTCGCCGCTCGGACCCACCGCTCGGACCCACCGCCCGGACCTACCGCTCGGACCTATCGCTCGGACCCACCGCTCAGACCCGCCGCTCGGACCCACCGCTCGGACCCGCAGCTCGGACCCGCCGCTTGGACCCAAAGTTCGAGTTCGATCCTCGTAGGTTCCAAATGGTTGCATGGGCTCTGTTCCTTCCCTCCGTCCTCATATTTCAGTTCCTTGCTCCTATTTCCCTCCTGAGCACTATACAATCATACTGGCCCCATACATCAGGTCGACTCGTATAGCAGAGTGCGTTCAGCGGCGTCAAACAGTCATATTGATCAGACCGTCAAGCAGGAAGCCTGGTCAGCTGGGACATTGATACCTGAACCTAACCTAACCTAACCTTCCTACCCGTCACCCTAATACCTGTCCCATCACCCTAATATCTGTCCCATCAACCTAATACCTCTCCCACCACACTAATACCTCTCCCACCATACTAATACTTCTCCCACCACACTAATACCTCTCCTATCACCCTAATACCTCTGTACCTATAATAACAGCTCCCTATCCACCGCCCTAATACCTAGTACTCCTGACCTCAGCACCTCCCTACTCATCGCCTAGGTTCCAGGCTCCTAATTTTCCAGGTGAATATCAGGCGGTGTGGGTGTCCGAGGCGGGCGCCCCAAAAGGCAGTCCGGCACTGATATTGCCATCCAGGGGACCGGGGATAGATGGAAGGGGAGGAGGAGGAGGATTGGGAAGGGGAGAGGAGGGGGAGGATTGGGAAGGGGAGAGGGGTGGTGGATAGTTTAAGACTGGATCGTGCGCCGGCGGGTGGGCCCTTGCATGCCCTACCGTGGTGGGTGGGTCGGTACTCGCCTGGATGTGTTCGCTGGGTCGAGCTTTAACTCTTGGCCCCCACCTTGCGAGCATTTCTTAGGTTAATTGCAAGTGACTGAGGAGGAATAAGTATCCAGCCTCCCACGTGTCACCAGCCTCCCTCATCTCTCAAGGCCAGGAAAGGGATGGTCGCCACTCAGACGTCAGGTAATTATCTCGGCGTCTCAGGTAATTGTTAAAGCTTAGTTGGCGCCGTCCAGCACCTGGCTACCAGGTCCTCCAGTGGTCACTACTGCCACTCCAGAGTGGCTACCAGGTCCCCCACTGGTCACTACTGCCACTCCAGAGTGGCTACCAGGTCCTCTACTGGTCACTACTGCCCCACCAGAGTGGCTACCAGGTCCCCCACTGGTCACTACCGTCCCTCCAGAATGGCTACCAGGTCCCCCACTGGTCACTACCGTCCCTCCAGAGTGGCTACCAGTTGTGGTGGTGGTGGTGACGACTCTGGTAAGGGGCCCCAGTTGTTGAGGAAGGTTAGGGTAGGGCTCACGGGCATGGGTAGGTCTCACCCCTCGGGTCTGCTGGGGTAGGGGTGGGGTCATGCCCCCAGGGGAGGGCAGGGGGCAGGGCTGCAGGTCAGGTGAAGGCTGACAGACATTAACCGGGATTACCACTGTTTATCATGATAATCAAGTATGAAGTCCCCTGGTGAACAATAACAGGAGAACCTGAATGTCTGCTGCTCAAGCAGACAACAATCACCTCAACATGGTCGTTAGGGTAACTTTTTTTAACCAAATATAAAATTTATAGAAACGTGTTGAAATCTAATTTAGCATTAATACATATAATAAGAGACGTATATGGCATGGGAGAGACGGGTTCTGGCAGCCGGCTGTGCCTCAGGCTCTATAGCCGGCCCCCTGTGTCCGGCGCCCGACGCTGTGGCGGCGCCCACACTCAGAGGCGCCCGTCTACTCCAGTCACCAACGGGACTGGCAACCTATAGTACTTACATCTCTCTATAGTGTGAATTGTTGTTCCTGCGGCCCAGTCGTAATGGCTTAGCACTCTCTCCTCATACTCCCCCTTCCCCTTCCGGGCCAGGTCAGCTCAGGTCAAGCTTTACCTGACATATATATATATATATATATATATATATATATATATATGTGTGTGTGTGTGTGTGTGTGTGTGTGTGTGTGTGTGTGTGTGTGTGTGTGTGTGTGTGTGTGTTCTAATATATGTGTACAATATTCTGAACAAGATACTATAGGAGTTTGCGTTTATATATGTCTGGCAGAGCGACTCACTTGGTGTCAGTCATTAGATGTCGTTGTGAATATGGTTCCTTCAGGGACTCCCCAGGGACTCCCAGGGACTCCCCAGGGACTCTCCAGGGACTCCCCAGGGACTCTCCAGGGACTCCCCAAGGGACGTAGAAGTTTCGGAAGAAGGCTCAATTATCATGATTTCTGGGAACGATTGGGCAGGAATCTTTGTTCCCACTCTGGTCTGTGTTTATAGGAATTGATGAGATTTGGTCATTTTAGCTTTCAGAATAATTTTACGGTTAATTGGATCTACTTGACTAAAAGATTGATTGTCCTGTACTGTTGCTATAGGTCTATAATTGCTCCTTCTGTTAGGCCTCTCTCTTTCACTGTCCCTTGTTATGTCCATTCATTTATATGTCCATTCATGTACTTATGTCCATTCATCGCTTGTTATGTCCATTCATCCACTTGTTATGTCCATTCATCTACTTGTTATGTCCATTCATCTACTTGTTATGTCCATTTATCTACTTGTTATGTCCATTCATCTACTTGTTATGTCCATTCATCTACTTGTTATGTCCATTCATCCACTTGTTATGTCCATTCATCTACTTGTTATGTCCATTCATCTACTTGTTATGTCCATTCATCTACTTATGTCCATTCATCCACTTGTACACTTCAGTTCCGTCAATCCTAACTCTTCACCTTTTCAGACGATGCCAATGAAACCCTTTCAATCTTTGTACATATGGAAGATTTCTAATTTGTGGAAGATTTTCTAATTCACATGAAAGATTTCAAATTTATAAATGACATCCTTCCCTGAACGCGTTTAAGTGAATTTCTGTCCGTTTTATAATATATTGACCCATATTGAACTGCGTAATCTAAACGGGACTTTTAAAAAGCCTCTGACACAGAGCCACACAAGAGGCTAATAATCAAACGTAAGAGGCGAAAATACCTAACAGACAGGAGTCAGAGAGTCAGGGTGATGGGCGAGAATTCGGAGTGATGTAAGATAAGGATCTTAAGGATCGGTGCTGGGTCCCGTACTGTCTGATGTTAATGATCTTCCTACAGGAGACAGAGTCGTTCAAGTCGATGTTTGCAATCATTGCAAAATTAGGGGGGGGGGGGTTGTTCAGGGATTTAAATGCCTCTTTTATTTAGGGTCTTGAAAGATGTTCTGATTGTGGTTATTATTGAGTAAGATGTTAATGTTATCCTGTTTATATATGCCTCTGGAATATGAAGATTGGGTTAGTTATGATATAACCAAACTAGCACAATAATACTAGTAGGTGGGGCATGAAGGCCTAGAGCTAGACGTTACTAGCTCGTAGTCATTGATAGAAAGTATTGGTAAAGTAAAGAGTATTGGTAAAGAAAGTAAAGAGAGGAGAAGATGAACCAGCAATGCTTGATTTGATATTTACCCTAAATGAATGGGATATAAGGGAAGTTAAGATGGAAGCGCCCTTGGGAATGAGTGACCACAGTGTATTGAACTTTGAGTACCTGGTAGAGCTAGGACTTATCTCCCCCCAAAAAGAACTAGGAATCAAAAGGCTGGCATACCGAAAGGGGAATTATGAACAGATGAGAAGTTTCCTAAGTGAAATACCTTGGGACACAGACCTCAGAGACAAGTCTGTACAGGGTATGATGGACTATGTTACCCAAAAGTGTCAGGAGGCAGTAAACAGGTTCATCCCGGCCCAAAGGGAAAAATCCGAGAAGCAACAGAAGAATCCATGGTATAATAGGGCATGTATGGAAGCGAAGAAACTGAACAAAAAGGCGTGGAGGAACTTCCGGAATAACAGAACACCAGAAAGCAGGGAGAGATACCAGAGAACCAGGAATGAGTACGTCAGGGTGAGAAGAGAAGCAGAGAAAAATTTTGAAAATGATATAGCAAACAAAGCCAAGACCGAACCAAAGCTACTCCACAGTCACATCAGAAGGAAAACAACAGTGAAAGAACAGGTATTGAAACTTAGAACAGTCGAGGACAGGTATACAGAGAATGACAGAGAGGTGTGTGAGGAACTCAACAAGAGGTTCCAGGAGGTCTTCACAATAGAACAGGGTGAGGTCACTGTGCTAGAAGAAAGGGAGGTAAACCAGGCGGCCTTGGAGGAGTTCGAAATTACGAGAGAGGAGGTCAAGAGACACCTGCTGGATCTGGATGTTAGAAAGGCGGTTGGTCCAGATGGGATCTCACCATGGGTACTGAAAGAGTGTGCAGAGGCACTTTGCTTGCCACTCTCCATAGTGTATAGTAAATCACTAGAGACGGGAGACCTACCAGAAATATGGAAGACGGCGAATGTGGTCCCAATATACAAAAAGGGCGACAGACAAGAGGCACTGAACTACAGGCCAGTGTCCTTGACTTGTATACCATGCAAGGTGATGGAGAAGATCGTGAGAAAAAACCTGGTAACACATCTGGAGAGAAGGGACTTCGTGACAAATCGCCAACATGGATTCAGGGAGGGTAAATCTTGCCTTACAGGCTTGATAGAATTCTACGATCAGGTGACACAGATTAAGCAAGAAAGAGAGGGCTGGGCGGACTGCATTTTCTTGGATTGTCGGAAAGCCTTTGACACAGTACCGCATAAGAGGCTGGTACATAAGCTGGAGAGACAGGCAGGTGTAGCTGGTAAGGTGCTCCAGTGGATAAGGGAGTATCTAAGCAATAGGAAGCAGAGAGTTACGGTGAGGGGTGAGACCTCCGATTGGCGTGAAGTCACCAGTGGAGTCCCACAGGGCTCTGTACTCGGTCCTATCTTGTTTCTGATATATGTAAATGATCTCCCGGAGGGTATCGATTCATTTCTCTCAATGTTTGCGGACGATGCTAAAATTATGAGAAGGATTAAAACAGAAGAGGACTGTTTGAGGCTTCAAGAAGACCTAGACAAGCTGAAGGAATGGTCGAACAAATGGTTGTTAGAGTTTAACCCAACCAAATGTAATGTAATGAAGATAGGTGTAGGGAGCAGGAGGCCAGATACAAGGTATCAT